CCCCAAAACCCCAAAACCCCAAAACCCCAAAACCCCTTTTGTAAAATTGAGGTAAACTTTTAGGATTTGCTTGATATTAATGAATAAAATAGCTTTTTAAAATAAGATATCATCGATTGCTTAAGGGAATAAATAAAAACTCTAGGGGTACTTACTCATTTGGATAAGCTCATTCTTCTTTTTATTTCTCCCTTCAAGAACTCATTTTGATACTTTTGCTCTCTAAGGACTTGTCTACTTTCTTATCCTCTTCTTACTAAGTAGGGCATTACTTTTTCGGTAGGCCCATATGGTAAATACTTGTAGACAGTGAATCCCTCATTAGCCAATTGGCCTGTAATTTGGTCTGAGAATGCCTTTAACTAACCAAAGTATGCTCTTCCATCATTTTTCTAAAGATCTCTAAGCAATTATTTGGCAATGTTAACTGATTCAACATTGTGAGAGCCAATAAGCATTCTATCTTGCTCATTCAAATTTTCTATGACTAGCTTTAGATTTCTATTATAATTATTATGGGTATCATCGATAGTATCCCAAATGGGGGATTCATAATCATGCTACTTTGCAAGTCTTCTCTCTTCATTCATGTAAGCTCCTCTAATAAGCTTGATACCTAAGTTATAACCGAGTTTCTTTGCTGATTGAATTTCAAGAGGTATCTTTTTCTCAGTTATCTTTAGATATTGCTGGAATCCATTCATGATAATGGTTCTATCGCCTCTGTTAAATTTCTAAGTCAACTATGTTGCGATTGAATCAATCTATTTTTGCATGTAAGTCTATTCAGCATCAACGTAAAGTTTGCAGTTTCTTTTGTGGGATAATTCAGTCATCTCAATTACTCTTTTGGCAAAGAGATCAAAGTGATTTATATCTTGGTCAGTAACTCCTAGATGCTTGCAAAATGATAGTAAGACTGGGTGTCTATCCTGTGGATTTAATGGTAGGACATGAGTATTTGCCCAACGCTCTACTTAGCTCAAGCTTTAACTACTATTATCTGCTAATTTAACCTTGTTGAATAGCCATTGAACATCATCATCTGAATATTTGAACCCAATCTTATCTAAGTTTGCTTTGATTTCTTGAATGCTGATAGGATCCTCCTTAGTCCATAATTGCATTACATCTTCTAATAGTACCTGCTGTGCTTTGGACAATCTTGTCATTATGTCAATGGAGATCAAAGCAGTCAGCTTTATTGCTAAATGACCGTCATCTTTCCCCTCTGTTATTGACATAATTGAATCAGTAAGGTCTTTCAGAGTTATTTAGATTTGTCTTTCATCCATTGAGTGAAGTCCTTCAGCTACATAATTTGCCACACCCTTAATTTTTCTCTTAGATAACTCTTCGATATCCACAATTAGACTCTAGATGGTTTCTCCTGAAGTGAAAACCTCTCCTGCAGTTTTATTTATCAAAAAATTAGTGAGTCTGACTCCCCAAATCTTATACATCATGTTCATTACTCCAAGGGAGTAGTTAATGAATAAATTAGAGCTCATCATCTTATAAATAAAAAGCTTCTTTACTAATCCGAATGTAGAGTCCTTTTCAAATATTTTCTTGATCTATTCTTTTTGGTCTACTGCTTATTAGTCAGAGCTATTATTCACAGACTAAGTACTAGTACTCTTAAATCTAATTTAATGATTTTGAAAAGCTGGTCTGAAAATCTAATGACCTTTGTTATTGACACCGTGGAGGTAGGTTGCGAGAAGATTTCTAGATTTTTGCATTAGTATGTGAAATGATATTAGATTATTATCTCTCTTATTATTTATATTTGCTAAATCTCAAATTAATAATATATTTATATCAATAGACATGGGGTTTTGGGGTTTTGGGG